AGGCTCGGGGGGGGGGGAGGAGAGACTGAGTTTCTGAGCAGCGTGGTTGTAGCAGATTTTGTCCCCTTTCCCCATCCCCTGTAAAGCTCATGTGATGCTGTTATCTCTGGGCTGGAGCTGTTCACCCAATGTGCAAATCAGCATGTTCTCAAGAGAGCCTGTGCTCTGTGCTGTTTCAATTATTTCCATACTATGTGTACTCAGGGCAAAACCTGTTAGAAAGTAGCTTTGTATTAACAGGACTCACAATCCACTGTGGGTGAGTAGGGGTGCCAATGCCATCTGCTTCTGTTGAATCGAATCTTTAATTTATAGAAGAATTTAGTTTCTAGCCCTTATGATTATGAAGACAACCTCCCAAAGCTGAGCCACGAGTAACCATTGCAGTGTTGAAGTCTTATGTTCTCAGATATGCCACTCCAGGGGGGAGGGATAGCTCAGTGGTTTGAGCATTGGTCTGCTTAAACCAGAGGTCTCAAACTCAAATGACCATGAGGACTAGTACATTGGCCCGAGGGCTGCATTACTGACACCTCTCCCCCGTGCTGCCCTCGGCCCCACCCCCACTCCACCCCTTCCACGAGGCCCTGCCCTTGCCCTGCTTCTTTCCCACCTCTTCCCTGCCCCCATTCCAACCCCTTCCCTGAAATCCCCACCCCACCTCTGCCCCCCTCCTGCCCCCCCTGGGGGCAGGGAGGTGTGGTGGGGGCTAAGGGCAGGGAGTTGGTGTGTGGGGTGCAGGAGGGGGTGAGGGGTACAGCAAGGGGTCAGGGTGCAGGGTGAGGCAGGGGGATCAGGGCAGTGGGTTGGGATGCAAGAGGAGTGTGGGATGGGGCAGGGGGTTCAGGGCAGGGGGTTTGGCTGCAGGAGGAGTTTGGGGGGCAGGATCTGGCCTGGCGCATCTGCAGGGCCGGCTTTAGGCCAATTCCACCAATTCTCCCGAATCGGGCCTCGCGCCTAAGAGGGCCCCGCGGCCAGTGGCAGGGCTGCCGGGGTGGGGGCAAGTGGCCGAGAATCCCTTCCGTGGCTAGAGGCTCCTTTTTAATTTTTACTCACCCGGCAGCGCTCCAGGTCTTCGGCGACACTTCAGCAGCAGGTCCTTCACTCGCTCTGGGTCTTCGGCAGCACTTCGGCAGCAGGTCCTTCAGTGCCACCAAAGACCGGGAGCGAGTGAAGGACAAACCGCCGAAGACTACGAGTGCCGCCCGGTGAGTACAAGCCCCAGGTGTTTTTTTACGTATTTTTTCTTTTTTCAGTCATCCTTGCCGGGGCCCCGTCAAAACTGTTCGAATCGGGCCCCGCACTTCCTAAAGCCGGCTCTGCGTGTCTGCCCTGCCCCCCGCAAGAGGCTGGAACATGGGGAAGGAGGGGCGGAGGGGCTGTGTGTGGCTGTTGCTTGAGGCACTGCCTCCAGCAGCTCCCATTGGCCGCAGTTCCCTATTCCTGGCCAATTGAAGCTGCTGGGGCGCTGCCTGAAGCAACAGCCACACACAGCTCCTCCACCCCCACCCCCCCTTCCAGCCTCTTCCCGGAGCTGCGCAGGGCAGGCCAGACAAGCAGGGACCGTGACCTGCTCCTGGTGCATGTCTGGCCAGAGCTGCGCTGGTAGACACTGGGGGAGGGCTCGCGGGCAGCAGAAAATCACCCTGAGGGCTGCATGTTTGAGACCCCTGGCTTAAACCCAGGGTTGTGAATTTAATCCTTGAGTGGCCATTTAGGGAACTGGGGTAAAAATCTGTCTGGGGATTGGCCCTGCTTTGAGCAGGGGGTTGGACTAGATGACCTCCTGAGGTCCCTCCCAACCCTGCTTCTATGAATACTGCTCAGAAATGTAACTGGGACAAACTGGATACATTTTGTTCTGATACTGTAGACGAAGTTGGAAACAGCAGTAGAGAAAGTCATGGAGGAGAAGGCACCATAAGGCTGCTATGCTACCTCTTTCCCACAGTAGAGACTTCTCTGTCCAGCAGGAGAAGAATTCTCCTTTTCCCAACCTTTCCAAGAGGAGAGAGAGGCTGAGGGTGGGGCTGGGGCCATGTTTGGAATAACAGTAATGAGTGGTGGGTAAATTTTGTAAAGAGAAGTAGAATTGACCAGGCTCAGAAGTGACTTTTCAATCACTTGATTCCGGGCCACCCAGAAGGGGGGGCAAGTGGGGCAATAGGCCCCGGGCCCTGCAGGGGCCCCCACGAGTATGTCGGAGGCTCCCCCCACCTCCGTCATCCCCCATTCCCCGGCATCTCAGCTGGTAAGGGGGCGGGGCTGCGAGCTGTGGGCGGGAATTCAGGCCCTCCTGGAGACATCACGCTGCTGCAGCACTGTGCGGGGCCGCTCCTGGACACGGTGGGCTGAGGCTCCGGGAGAGGGGGTAAGCGGCATGGTAAGGAGCCGGGGCCGGGCACCCCCCTGACCTCATCCCCCACAGCCCTGACCCCCCAGCTTTGAGCCCAGCCCCTCTGAGCCAGGTACCTCCCTGACCCCATCCCCCCACAGCCCTGACCCCCAACTCCGAGCCCAGCCCCTCTGAGCTGAGCACCCCCCTGATCCCCAGCTCCCCTGAGCCCAGCCCCTCTGATCCGGCTACCCTCCTGACCCCAGCTCCCCACAACCCTGAGCCAGCCCTTGTGAGCCACGGTACCCCCCCGACCCAATTGT